TTCTTCTTCTTCTTCTTCTTCTTCTTCTTCTTCTTCTTCTTCTTCTTCTTCTTCTTCTTGTCATACCTTGACTGATGGCGAAGGAGACCTGTGGTGCTGTGCGAAAGCAGCGTGTACTCGTTGCTCTCCCCTTCCCGCCCAACACTGCTCGCAAGACACCGAAGCTGTGTAATGTTGCTCACACATGATGCATGCGCGTTGCTGTTGAAAGGCGTGTGGCTGGTGACTGATGAGATGCTGATTTCCTGCCGAAATGATTCCCACATTGTCACGTGGATTGCCGAGTCAACTAAACACGTCAGTGACACACACACACACACACACACACACACACACACACACACACACACACGCATAGAGTCTCCCCCTTGTTGTTGCTTCATCCTTGCTCTGCCCCGTACAACGACAGGGACAATCACATCATCACCACGCAGCGGCCTCATGTCCAGCTTACCGCAGGCGCCGTTGGTCTCATCACGACCACCATGATATCGTCCCCACACCCAACACCCAACCTCTAGCACGCAACATCTAATCACCCCTCCCCCGTTCTCACTGCCAATATCTCAACATTCCCACTACACCCCCCGCCCAGGTGCCCACGCTGCGCTGGTCGCGTGCTCTCGCTGTCGCTGCGAATGCGTGGCCGCCCGCCTTCAACACCCGCGAGCACATGTTCGTGCCCACGCCCGACACATTGTACAAGCTCGACGTGAGTACGGGTGCGACGGTTGCGACGCTGCTGCTTGACCCAACGCCGCCCACGGGCCCGCCGCTGCTTGTCTTTAGCGATGTCTTTGTTGCCGTCACCGACACCGCACAGGATCGCGTCCTCTCCATGCCAGACAGCCTCGCACGTCAGTAGTAGTGGTGGTGCTCGTGGTTTGTGTGTGTGTGTGTGTGTGTGTTGAGAACTTTGAGTGCGTGTGTTGCTACTTGTATACACATGACTGTGCGCCTGTTTGCGCGCGTTTTGATTCATGTCAATGTGATTTGTAGTACTCACATCCTTGTCACCTGCTGTGCATTGTGTTCACGTTGTTTGCACTGTGCAGGAGTGTCGTGGGAGCTGCAGCTTGATCCAGACGAGCGTGTCATTGGCGCTCTCAGCGCAACCGGCAGTCTTGTGGTCGTGCCCACAGCAGACAACCTCGTCGTCCTCACGCTAAGTACGCACACATTCATTGCATGCTCTGCGACGCCGTGGAAGCACTTGAGGTTTTCCTCTGCCGCGATCCACTTTTCATTCCCCTCTTATCTTGGCCCACACTTACGCCACCACCACCACCACCACCACCAACAACAACAACAACAACAACAACCCAACAACAACAACCCAACAACAACAACCCAACACCAACAACACCACCACCGCCACACGAAGGCACGGGAGCACGGCAGTGGACGTTACCGCTGCGGCCGCCGACGGCTGATGGCGAGTATGAGCTGCTGGCGCACCAGGTACTGGCCACGTCAAGCGTATCCCTGCTGCACGTCACGCAGTACCAGGAGAACGCAACAGATGCCACCACGCCCGCCAGCACCACGCCTGCCATCTTGACCACCGGCCCGGGCAACGCTACGGCCACATCCACGACTGCGACGACGACAACCACGACGACAACAATCCCACCGGGCATGCGGCGTGTCATTGTGCACACGCGGTTCCAGATGTTCATTACGACAAGTCTGCGCTTCTTCGAGTCGTGGACAGAGGAGATGACCCACGAGCGCCTCGTGCCCAATGATGGTGCAGATAACAGCAATGGTAATGGTGGTGGTGATGATGTGGCGAGTGAAATTGTACCGCCGATGATCGCCATCAGCAACGGGCTGCTGCATCTCTTGTCCGGTGCGGGCCCGTCCATGTCGTCAGCACCGCCGGCCCCGACTCCCACTACCACCGTTCGCGCGCTCTCCACGTGTGCACTCGTTGAGCAGCCTGAGGTGAGCGTGCGCGCAGAGAATGTCGCCATCATCCGCAGTAGCGAGCCCCGCCTGCAAGTCACGTCCTTCAACGGGTTTTACCTGGACATCACCACGGGTGGACAAACGATCCGCCTGTCCGGTGTTCCCGCCGCTGCGCGCCTGCCCGATTTGCTGCCGGGGGCCACGTACCGCATCGCCACGGGCGCACGTGTGAGCACAGGCATGGCACTGGAGAGCGCGGGGGCGGTGACGGTGACAATGCCGGCTGCTCCAACGACACCGCCGCAAGGACGCGTGGCTGTTGTTGTTCAGCTGCGGGTTGAGGCTGACGACGACGACACCACGGGGACGGCTGGCGACGCTGCGGGCAATGTGGCGGCGCGGATCAGCGGCAACTACTTCCTCGTGCAGCGCCTGCGACAGGAGGTGTGCGGCGACATTCCGGGGTCCATCTCACGCACCACCAGCTGCTATGTACGGTCGGTTGCCCTTGCTGCCGCCAACAGCACGGACACGAACGCACGCAGGCGGCGCAGCGGTGCAGCGATGCACGCAGATGCAGCCCTCACCAATGACGACAGCATGAATGAGGGTGCACACGACACGAGAGGCACAGAGGCTGGTGCTGGCGCGCGTGTGCGTGTGCGCATGAGGAGGGCAGCGTCGCAGGCCGTGATTGAGGTGGTGGCGGAGGGGAACGAGGACGATGAGATTGTCATTGCAGGCGCCCTTGACCAGGGCGTGCGCGGTGTTGCTGCCAGCGGCTGGCTGGACGATGTTGGCGTGACGGCAAGCGTCGTCTCCGTGTCGCCACTGCCGGAGATTGTGCGTGCAACGACAACGACGACGACAACAACAACGACAACGATGCCCAGCACCACCCGGGTGTCCACGACCACGCTCACGCTGACTGATCCGACCAGCAGCGGGTCACAGGACTCGACAACCACGATTGTGATTATTGTGGTGTGCGTGCTTGTTGGTGTGGCGCTTGTGATTGGCGTGATTGTTCTCGGCGTCAACCGCAGACGCGAGAACAAGTACGACGGCGACCAGCTCTTCCTGCAGAATGAAGGTATGCGATGCTCTTTCGGTTGCATGATGCAATGCTTGCTGTTTGCCGTATCGTGCTGTGCTTGCCGTGTTGTATGTATTTAACGCGCTGTGTTTGGAATACGTGCTACTTCTTCTCACATGTGCGTGTGTCTGTCTGTCTGTCTGTCTGTCTGTCTGTCTGTGCAGGGGCGATCATCGAGATGATTGAGAACCAGGCCCACAGCCGCCGCGCTAGCAGGAGCGAGTACGTCAGACCACCCCTCTGTTGCTTGTGTTCCTGCAATGCGCAGCCTTCCTATTGCAGCTTGATGGTTCGCCAGTCATTGTCATCACCCTCACCATCCATCACCGATACCATCATCATCACCACCACCACATCAGTCGTGAGCGCGTTGCCCAGCAGCCGCTGCCGCCCATCCCATCCAGCGTGGACCGTCCCCGCATGCCGCTGCCTGACGACAACTACGACGACACGCCAACGCGCACGCTGCAGCCGCCCCTGCCTGATCGACCGCCACTCCCGCTCCCGCTCCCGACAGACACGATGTCGTCCGCCGCCCGTATGCCGCTGCCGCCAACACCGGGCAGCGCGGGTCCGTTTGACAGCAGCACAGACACCATGAACAGGACTGGCACCATCCTCCCAGCAGCAGCCATCGGTGCGCACGTGAATGGGTTGTGCGTACACACATGTGCGCGCGCTGTTAATGTGTGTGTGTGTGTATGTGTGCGTGTGTGTGTACGTGTGTGTTGTGCAACAATGGGAAATGTGGTGTTATTTGGGTGCGATGCGTGTGTGTATGTCCTACAATGCTGCTTTCATCTATCATTCTTCCTTGAGCTCACACCCTTGTCCCGTGCGTGCGTGCGTACGTGTGTGTGTGTGTGTGTGTGTGTGTGTGTGTGTGTGTGTGTGTGTGTGTGTGTGTGTGTGTGTGCACAGAGCAAGGGGCGGCAGAGGCGTTTTGCAGCATTGCGCCGGCTGATATCTCCCTCACTCGCGTCGTCCGCAAAATCAGCGCAGACCTCGTCATGCACCTCGGCTCCTTCCAATCAGACTCTGGTACGTTTGTGCGTGTGTGTGTTGGTGCATGTGTGCGTGTGTGCGCTGACGTGTGTGTGTGTGTGTGTGTGTGTGCATACGTGTGTGAGCATGCATTGAGGCATATCACATACCACCCTGTTGATTGCCTCGTGTTTGTTCTCATCACCAATGCCGACTGCACAGGTCCGATGACCGTCCGCGCGCTGCAGTTCAAGACGCCTGCCATCCTGCCCAACATCGTCGCCAACCTCGCAAAGGAGGAGCAGCGTGCGTCCTGCCGCCAGCTGTTGATGCTGCTGCTGCTGCTTTTGTTATTGTTGTTGCTGTCATGGGGGTTTCCCCGCCCCTGCCCCTCGTGAATGCACGTGAATGATCTACTCCTTTTCTCGCAAGCTCACACACTAGCGCGCACTCACACTCGCACACGCACTCGCAAACCCTCCGCGATTTAGTGACCGAGATACTGGACTTGAAGCACGAGAACTTGTGTGTCATTTACGGCATGTGCATGAGCGCTCCGCCTGTGCTCGGTACGCAAAGCACAGACGGCGCACTCTGTGCACACCATTGCAAGTAGTCTGTCCAGCACTTTTTGTCGCAACATGTCCTTCCTTGGCCATCACAACCTCACTCCTGACCCTTTCAAACGCCCCTTTGTTACTTCTGCCCACCATTACATCCCCATCGCACCCCACACACGACCACATCCCGTCACACCACCAGTGATGGACTATGCCCCCGGCGGGAGCGTGTACTCGTTCCTGTCGCACCGGCCCGACACTCCGCTGCATCGCCGCCTGAGCATCATGCAGCAGGCAACGTGTGGCCTTGAGTACCTTTCGTCAAAGCGCATCGTGCACGGCAACATCTGGTCGCAGGAGCTCTTCATCCACGGCCAAACCATCAAGGTGTGCGTGTGTGTGCTTTTGAGTGTGTATTTGAGTGTGTGTGTGTGTGTGTCTTTGGAGTCTTCATTTCACCTCTGCTCTCGTCTCTCCTCCCCTGATTGTCATGTGCATCTCTCACTCCTCGCCACTGTGTGCCCGAACAACAGCTGTCGCTGGCGCCATTGCAGCGCGCCGCCGCGAATGCCCTGAACATGCCCCATCTTCGCAAGATGTTCCGCACCCGCATCCGCTGGGCTGCACCAGGTGCCAACGCCTTGTGTGTGTGTCTGTGTCTGTGTGTCTGTCTGTGCATCTCTGCGCGTGCGCGTGTACCTGACGCTTGCACGCACTCCATAGTCTAGTCGACGTGCTGCTACACACTCTGCTCGCATCTCATCACCACATCATCGCCACCATCACCGCCGCCACCGCCACTGTCACGCCCTGCAGAGACTGTGAGCCGCAAGTACTCGCTGGCGAGTGACGTGTGGGCACTCGCAGTCACATTCTGGGAGATTTTCATGAACTGCAAAACGCAGCCGTACGCACACATTCGCAACGTTGCTGATGTGTTGCCGAGTGTACAGCGGGGCGAGCGGCTGACACAGCCCGACATGTGCCCGGATGAGTTGTGGGAGCTCATGGTGGACTGCTGGAAGGCAAATCGTGCAGACCGGCCATCCGTGCACATGGTCCACCAGGTGTGTGTGTGTGTGCGTGTGTATGTATGTGTGTGCATGATATTGTGTGTGTGTGTGTGTGTGTGCGTGTGTATGTGTGCTTGACGTTGTGTATTTGTGTGACGGTGACATTTCTTCGTCCGTGTTGTCGTTTGCTGTGGGTCTGTCACTTGTTGTCCTCTTTTCCCACCTCATCCTCTCATCACCTCGCCTGCGTGGTTTTATTTTCCAAAGGTTTTGGTGGACATTGGCGAAGAGCTTGCGGAATTGGCGGGTAAGTGCGTGCTGTGCAACGTTGAGATGACACATACAACACCCTCTCCCCATACGATGATATTGTCTTCTTCATGTTATTCGCCCGAACCCTTGTCCCAGCACCCCCCCCCCCACACACACACACACGCACACTCACTGCTGCTGTGGGATTCCTTCGTGACTGCTCACACGCCCACACTTCAAAATCTGCTACATTGACATCGACACAGAAACGAGCGCATAGCCGGCACGATGGAAGTCCAGCCCTCCCGGTTGCCAAGCAACCAACCAGCCAACAGCACACGCTTTGTTGGGGCGTTTTCATTGTCCATTGCCAAGCACCACGTCACATCACACCACAACCCGATCGCACTCCAATCACCAACATGGTGCATCAACTTTATCTTTCTATTCATCACCTTGTCCAATCTTCCGTCGGTCTTCCGGTCTTCCTTTTGCCTTCTTTCCATCTCACATCGCCCGTTTCAACAATTGACTTCATATGTTGTCGGGTTCATGTGTCTTTAGCCGCCCGTTTCAAGATCAAGGTCCAAGTTAGCTTCCTTTTGCTTTGTCTCCGCTCTGTCTGATAGGTCCCCCTCCTCTCCCAAACTGCTGTTCTCGAAGACGCACAAGACCAGAGTTTTGTTGCCTCCAGTGTCCAACAACACAATACAACAGACTCGTTTTGGTTGCGTGGATGCGAATTCGCTTTTGCTTGTATTTGAAGGAGGGGGCAGTTACTACCAGCTTGCCTGCTTGTCAAACGTAAGGGGGCATGTGTGACAATACAGCAAGCACACCACAAAACATCAGAGCACAAGCATCATCTATCACATTTCTACGGACTAAAATTGAAACAGAACAGGCAGTAACAGATCAAAGCAACAGGCGCTGTCTCATGTGAGCCAGCCAACAACAGACGCGCTAATGGCCAAAGGAATCAATGCACAGCATTTACGGAACAAAACAACATGCTGTGGCGATACAATGCACGATGCAGGCACACAACACTAACGCATCGACCACCACTGTAACGACCACCATTGCTGTGACTGCCACCACCACAACAACTACGACACGCCCAGCATGATCGGCTCCTCAGCACAGGGACACCTGATACGATGTTGACAGCGCGCTCTCATTCAACTGTTGCATCAGAGGAGAGGGCTGGCGGCGTTGTTGCTGCTGCTGTTGTTGTTGTTGCTGCTGTTGTTGTTGCTGAGGGCTGTTGGGCTTGCCGTTGGGTGTATTCTGAATGTCAAACACTTCGTTCATCTCGATTACTTCTGCTTCCTCTCTGCGCTCGCTGCTATTTGCCTCGCCAGGCATAACATCACCTCCTCCATCCCGACCACCGTTGTCACGCACACCACCATCGTTTCTGTCCCCATTGTTGTTGCTGTCGTCATCCTCTGTCTCCGCCTCCTCCTCCTTCAGAGTTGCCTGTCGCATCCAGTCCTGCATGCGTGCAAGCGCTGGTCTCTCCATCATGATTGGCGATTCCGGACCAGAGATCCGCCGCCGCCGCGCTTCCGTGCTGTCGTCCGATTTCGCAAAGGCCGTCATCTCCAGCTGTCACATCGGTGCATGTGTGCACGTGTGTGTTCGAGCGAGCACGCGTGTAAGGATGTGTGAGCACGTGTGCGAGCATGTATTGGGTGTGTTTAATTGTTGTAGTGACACTCAGCAACGGTGGCGGTGTGGTTTGGAGGTGGAGGGGGCGGGCTCGACAAGTTCCAGCAGACGAGGACACCACAATGTGCATACATGCGCATGATGTACAATGAGCTGCTGACACGATCAACGTGTCCGACGCACCTCTGCCATCATGTCGCTGGATTCGGCGGCGTGGAAGACACAGCCGAGGGGGAGCAGAACCAGCAAGATACAAATTACATGAGAAACAAAACGTCAAGTCACACGATGACACAGATCTCATATCAGTGGTCCATGCAAGCCTCTCCCATCTCTCATGTCCATCATGTACGTGCAAAACACAAAAAGTATATCACACACGAACAACCACACGCGCAAGAAATGCACTCACGCTCTGGTGAGGGGTATGTTGGACGTCATTCTGCTTCGTGCGGCCATCAACTTGGCGACGGTGGCTTGGCGAGGACCCAGCGTCCGACCTGTGAATGTTGCGAGAGAAATGGATCAACAGGAGTGAGTGAACCTCTGTGTGTGTGTGTGTGTGTGTGTGTGTGTGTGTGTGTGTGTGTGTGTGTGTGTGTGTGTGTGTGTGTGTGTGCGTTCTGACACACGAGGAGCCACAGTGCATCGCAACACTGCACAAACAAACCAAAACAAACAAACCAAACCAAACACACCTGATCGCGTACGTTGTGAGCTGTCGTGCAGCGTCTGCTGCAGCATCGACGCGAGCACGGGCGTATCCACCTCCACTGCCGAAGAAAGTGGCCTTGCCGACATGGACCCATCGCTTGCTGACTTGCCAAGCGTCGGCACTTGCTGCTTTCGTCGCCGCTTGCGCTGTTTCTGCTGCTTCTGCTGCTTCTGCTGCGCCGCTGGCGTGTGATGCGGCATTGATCGGGCATACCGCACGGGCGTGACGTGATCCGTGTGCATCTGCATCAGTGAAAGAGATGCACTGCTCGCCCTCGCGTCCTTTGCAGCGTAAGACAACTCGTCATCATCGCCACGCACATCACCGCCATCCACATCATCAGGGGACGTCGCAGCAACATTGTCAGCAGGCGCAGTGGCCAGTGCAGCCACTGACATGACGCTGGCGAGTGTGGAGCTGGAAGCAGCAGAGTCGCTCACCACTGCATTCGTCTTCACAAACGGGTGCCGCGAGAAGCTGAAATCCACTCCGTGTTGGCGGCGTTGGTGCTGTTCCCTGTGGCTCCTTGACTTCGGCACCCCACTGCAGTTGCCTTGCGTGTGTTCGCCATCACGGCTGATGTCACCATCGCTGCTGCTTTCGTCAATGGTGTCCAGCTTGCCTCTGCTGCTTGCTGGTGTTGTTGCTGTCAGCATGTCATCAACGTCCAGCTCATCGCTGTCGCTGTCACTGGCGTCTTTGTGTTCCTCGCTTTCAACAGCCACAATCGCAATTTGTCCAGTACCGGCAACACTGCTCTTCCTCCGTCCGTCGCGATCATCACGGCTGGCAGGACGCCGAGCAGCATCATGATCACTACCAACACCATCGCTGTTCTCATCATCGCTACCATCGTCGTCATCATCATCAGCTGATTCAGTCTCTACGCGAATGACTTGCTGCGACTGTGCGCGATCGCTGCGTTCCTCCGTTGAAGTCGCGTCGTGTCTCTCCTCTTGTTCCACCGCCTGAGAGGACCGCTATCAGACGCAATGGCGCAACACGCACACGCACACGCACACGCACAACAGGAGCAGTGAACACACGGACGATAACGTCGCAGCAGGGTAAGTGACAAGCATCACCACCAGTAAGGTAGATCAAACGTTGTGCGGAGCACACAAAGGCAGCAAAACAGGAAGCTCAGCTGTGCACAAGCGTATACACACACACACACATACACACGAGCGTGCACACGCACAGTCTTCCACCACCAACCTGGCTTGCGTTGTGTGAAGAGCTGTTGCTGGCAACAACAGTCTCGCGCGTCTCAAACAAATCCACATATGCGTGGCGATCAAAGTCGTGAGGCGGTGATTGCTTGACATCAGGGTGCAGCTGCACGGCACTTCCACGCTTGCTGGAACCAGCACTGGATGCGTTGCTTTCGCGTGTTGGGATCTGCAGGTGCACGTTCAAGAGCGCCTTTGGCGTTGCTGTGCCGCGGCGTGAGAGATCATGGCGAAGGCCAGGGAGGTGAAGGTGGGGATGATATTTCTCGCGATGCAAGGACACACAACTGGAAGCGTTGCGCTTCATGCCCTCGCTTGCAACGGTGCTGCTGCTGCGTGCGCCTCCGCTGCCCGCATAGAAGAGCTCATCGCGGTTCACGCTGCCGCTGCTCTCGCCCGTGTTGGTGCCAGCAGTGCCGCTATCCTCATGGCATCCACATTCGCCGTCCGTGCGCCCATGGCCGCGATCATCACCATCACCGTTGTCATCATCGTCACCACCATCGCCACCATCACCACCGTCAGTGTTGGAGGTGGCTGAGGCCTGGCTCTGTCGCAACCACGCCTCCACATTCTCTTCCACAACCTGCATCTGTTCGTTCACCATCGGCGCGACCTCCGCCCCTTGCAGTGCTGTGTATGATTGCGTGCATGTGTTGGGGAGTGTTGGTGAGTGGGTGTGTTGAAGTGTGAGTTTGAGGGTTATGTGAGTTTCATGGGTCACAGTGTTCGTGGTTGTGCTCTCCCCTATCAAACACGGACACATCTTTGTAACCTGTATCTGTCTCCAATTCACTATGTGTACGCACCAGTGTCGAGCATGTCGCATGTTTCGGCAAACGACAGTCGTTCGCTCGGATCCGTCGCCCAGCACGCCAGCATCAGCTGTGGACCAGAACACGGGTCAACCAGCAAGCGCAGAACGTGAGATGAGCGATGTGTGCAGTGTGTGTGTGCAGTGTGCGTGCGTGCGTGTGTGTGTGCGTGTGTGTGTGCAGTGTGTGTGTGTGTGTGTGTGTGTGTGTGTGTGTGTGTGTGTGTGTGTGTGTGCGTGCGCGCGTGTGTGCAGCAAGAGTGTGAAAGCAACCCCATTGAACCTGCCCCCATTGCCATGTCATCGTACAATGTAGACGTCGCGCGGGCATCCGTCTGGTTTGCCGAGACGGTGCCCCTTCTGCAGGAGGCGGAAGATGGTGGAGTTCTTGAGCCCAAGGTACGGCATCGTGCCATCGCTGAACAGCTCCCACACCGTCACGCCTTTCAAGGGGGGGGGGGGGGGACGGAGGGACGATGAAACAGGAACCAGTGTTGTTGAAGGAGGATTAAATTAGCAGCAGGTGACATGTTGCCAACCACAAAGCAAGCGTGTCACAACACACACACACACACATGTACGTGCACGTGTACACACACACATACACACACACACGTCCACACACAAACACACATAAACGGCACACACATGTACATAACCACTTGCGTGCGTACACACACAACTCACCGTATGACCAGATGTCTGTCTGCTCGGAGAATACGCGCGTGTCCAGTGCTTCCGGTGCGGTCCACGCAACAGCAACACGATCATCCGTCACGCGGCACTGCCCGTTGGTCTTCGCACGCGCGTGCCCAAAGTCAGCGACCTGAAAAGTCCAGACGCGGAGTGGTGTTGGTGTTCGTGATGAAGGTGGTGTTGGTGGTGTGATGAGTGTAGGCGGATGCGCGTGCGTGGATGCAAGACAAGGTTACTAAGTGTGTTCACGAAATGAAGTGACAAAGGAAACTATGGTTGCATCCACAAACCCCACAAGACCAAGGTCTTGTTCACCACAGAGTGCACCCGCACACCAACAAACCTTGCAAACAAAGTCTTCATCCACGAGAATGTTGCGAGCAGCAATATCACTGTCCGTCGACGAAAAAAAACAAGTAGAGCATGAAGCAGAACATGCGAATTGTGAGTTGAAGCCGAATTGACAAGGTGGATACATCGTCCGTCAAACAAACAAACAAACAAACAAACAAACAAACACAAACATAAACAAACACAAACACAAACACAAACATAAACATAAACATAAACATAAACAAACAAACAAATTAAACACAAACAAACAAACAAACACACATACACAAACACACAAACACAACCTTAGACCCACCGGTGCACGAATCCCTTCTGGTGGACGGTGCGCAGGCCGCGAGCAATATCGCGCGCCATCATGAGTTTTCCCCACAGCGGAAGTGGATTGAGAGATTCCTTGCGCTCGCGAAGCAGAGACAGCAGTGACCCTTTTGCAGAGTACACCGTGACCAGGAGGAACGGGTGCAGCGTCGTGCACACGCCAATGAAACCGACAACATTCTTGTCCTTCATCTGACACAGCACGCTCGCTTCCCGCATAAACTCCTCAAGCTCCTTGCACACGCCACCGCCTTGTTTCGCGCCATCCTTGCCACCACTTCCTGTTGCCATTCCAGTCATGGATGCCGATCTTGCCAGCGTGCTGCCACTGCTTGGTCCGCTGCCAGTGGTGGCTGATCTGGGGGTGGTGGTGGGGGCTGCCGTGGTCGTGCTCTGGCTGCTGCGGTTGCGGTGCGTCACTGCCGCCAACACACGCATGAAGCCACGCCTCCTGTTGTTACGAGTGTGGCGGCCTCTTCCTCGCCCGCCCCCTGGCGCACTCGATTGGTCGCCGTGGCCAGCAGCGTCACTGCTGTTGCTGCCGTCATTGCTGCTGCTGTTGTTGTTGTTGTTGTTGTTGTTGTTGTTGTTGTTGTTGTTGTTGTTGTTGTTGTTGTTGTTGTTGTTGTTGTTGTTGTTGTTGGTGTTCTGGTGCATGATGGTTGATAGCTTGAGGGTCTTGTTGTTGCTGTTGTTGCTGTTGTTGTTGTTGTTGCGTTTGGTTCTGCTGCCCTCATTGTTGCCGTGCTTGCGGCTGCTGCTGCTGCTGCTGCTCGCAGGTGTGTGTGGTGATTTAGCAGTGTCTGTTGATCTGCGGTGTTGCGTCATTGGCGATGGCTTTCCACGGGCGCCCGCAGCACCTTCACGCACGTTATCCTCACGACCGCTCGTCACGTCACGCGCCTGTGGCCTGTTGGCGGCCTGAGACGCATTTGCAGGCATGCTCCATTGTTGCAGCAGGTTTGAGTCTTGCGGCGACAGCCCAATGTCGTACGCAGTGACCACGCCCATCAGTGGTTGGTGGAAGCGGCGCGCCATGCGCCCCATGGACAGGATGCATGATTCCGGACCAACCACAACCCAGATGTCGGCTGCATTGTCCGGCTGCATTGGCGGGGAGAGGAAGGAACAAGCGTCCACATTGAGGCGCACCGGCAAAATGCGGACTGTCAGCGTGTCGGAGAAGCCTGTCAGTTGGTTCAGGGACGGAACAATGGTGGAAATGGAAGCCAGCTGGTCGTATAGCAGCCCTTCTTGCTCCGTCAGCGCACGGGAGAGCGGTGCAATGACAACATACTTCACCAGCACCTCCGCCACCAGCACGGGCACATCGCTGGGCGGGTGCAGGGCACCAGCACCCCATATGATGCGCTTGCTGATGGTGACGCGGCCGCCCGCAATGCGCCCTGCTTCCGTGAACACGCCGGCACCAACGTTCAGCACCTGCGTACCAGGATCCAGCACCGTCACGGTATCAGCTGTCATCATGGGCAGCTCGTGAACGGTGCTGTTGGTGGTGTGGGTGGTGGTGGTGTGGGTGGTGGTGGTGTGGGTGGTGGTGGTGTGGGTGGTGTTGATGTTGTTGGCGCTGTTGGCGCTGGCTGTGGGAGTCGTGTGCACGTCGTGCACGCGGCCAAAGTTGTCTGCGCGCGAGACACACAGGCCAGACGTGAGCTGCAAACCCAAACCACCGTCTTCATCGCAGTTCTGCTGCTTGTGGTTGCTGTCAAGGGCGGCATTTGTCTCGTGCACGATGACAGCGCGGAGGTCAGCAGGGGACTGGCGGTAGTCAATCAGTCGACGCTCCACTGCATCCTGAAGCACTCGGGCCAGCACCAGCATGCCGTCATGCACGCGAAGCGACAGCAGCGAGGGCCCAATGTCGCCTGCAATCCCCGCTGACTGGAAGGAGAAGGAGAAGAGGCGCCCAGCAGACGTGGACGTGCTCGGCAGGAAGTTCTGGAATGCCATGCCGCTGCCTGAAGGCGGACTCAGCACAACAACAGCTGCGCATGGTGGCGTACACGCGTGTGTGTTGAGATGTGAGCAAGTTGGGGGTTGGGAGTTAGCGCCATGCGTGTGTTCGGATGTGTGTGTGTGTGTGTTGGTTGTTGTTGTTGTTGTTGTTGTTGTTGTTGTTGTTGTTGTGGTGGTGGTGGAATTGATGCGATGGACAGCATAACATCACCAGCACTGGTCTAGCGGCGATCAAGACGTTAACTCGGGTCAGCACACAAAGCCAGCAGAAGCAAGCGTACATGTCATGTACACGCACCATCGCGAAAGGTGACAGTGCGACTGAAGTGGATGCCACGCCAGCTCCCTGCGCAGCATCACGTCGTGTATGCGTGTGTGTGTGTGTGTGTGTTTGTGCGTGAGTGCGTGTAAATTGTTGACGCGTGTATGATTGTGATTGCGGACAATGTATGTTGCTGATAGCAGTTGAAGAAGAAAGGGTTGTGCAGGCCGTGGGAATCAATGTATTTGCTGCTTGCAAGCATGCCGACCAAAGCAGTTGCTTCTTACCAAAAGCGAGGATCCACGCCCAATTTTCGCCCGTGATGAAGGCACGTTCTGCAGCCTAAGTACAGAGAAGCGACAAAGTGCAGTTGAGGTGGTCATATGAGGTGAGAATGATGGCAACAATGAGGACTTCGTGAGGGCAAAGCATCTGCAGACGATGCAAGTTCAAATACAACACAAAGAGCAGAAACCGCAAAGCTGACACACACACACATAAGCACACACAACACACACACACACACACAACACACACGCACCCACACACCCGCAAGTAAGCGTCCGCGTGGAGAAAGTCGGGAGCGAGGACGATGGTGATGCTTGCGTCAAGGGTGCGATGACGCTGCATCAGGAGCTGCAGTGCCGTGCTGTTGTGTGTGGCGGCCTCTGGCGCCGGTGTGAAACCGAGCGGGTTGAAGCCGTGGTTGCGGGCGACTGACATCAGTTCCTGCGTGTGCGGCACGAGGGTATTGTGGCAGAGCACAGAGAAGCGGGTCCAGTTGTTGTTGCGCAGGACGAGGAGCACTTGATCAATGTGAAGATGCGCGCTGCCATCGAGCAGGAACAGCGGCGACTGGCGCGTCGCACCATCATCGTCATTGGCGCCTGCGTCATTGAAGCCACCATCACCGCCGACACCACTGGTATCATCATCGTCATCACCACCACTACCCGTTGTGCTTGTACTGTTGCCCGTGCCCGCTTGCTGTGACGACTGTGACGCTGTTGGCGGTGTTGTTGATGGTGAAGGGTTGAGGCGAGGAAAGGATGACACGACAAACTGCGGCAGCCCCAAGAGGGTGAGCTGCGGCGCCCAGTCCTGCTGACAGAGCGAGGGCACAACGCCCACAACAGCCACCAAATCCTTCTCAAGCGTGGCATTGAGAAGATACTCCTGCGTCCTGTTGCACAACCGCATGTGTGCTTCCAGCGACAACAGCGAGGTGTGGGCGCTACCTGCCTCCTCTGCACCAAGCACCGTCTCACGCGTGATGATGCTGGCGGTGACGTCGATGTTGTTGAGGTTGGACACGATACCCGCGGACCACGTGCAGGCCGCTGCCAACTCGTCCTCAAGCTCGCTCTCATCCACAAGCGCAAGGCACGCAACCGTGATGGTTCTTCGAAAGGGGGAGGGTGGGGGTGATTGATGATGGTGGTGGTGATGGTAGGTTGTGAGACAGATGAACTCGCACGTAGTGATTGCGCACGTGTTGGCGGTGCAACGACAGTCTTGCTTTCCCACTCCATCATAGACACACACAGATGCACAAACACACATACAGACACACATATAGACACACATACAGACACACACATACAGACGCGCGCACACACACACACAAACACACACACATACAGACACATACTCCAGCATACCTTCTGACGACGGAGAATGTGGATGGCGGCACAGGTTTCCCACCACCCCAGACAATTGGCTGCTGCAGCGAAAGCCGCAGACGCGACTCGACCTCATCTGCAACACCAACGCCAAGGAGGAGGTTGTCGGCGACGTTTGCAATTGAATACACGATGCGCCCATCGCCCTCGGGCGAGAAGTACACCTGCATTGATGCCATGCGCAGACGTGATGTGTATGTGTGTGTGTGTGTGCTGCATGAGTGCAAGCAGAACAACAAGGCATTATTCGTCCACTCATGCACATACAAACCCACATTTAAACAAAGAAAGATTCACACACACACACAAACACACACACACACACACACACACACACACACACACACAAGTATCCAGCAATGCAACAGTGGTTGCGGCGCACGTTCGAGCTCGTTGATCCGCGAAATCCGAGCGCAGGGTCAGTCATGGCCTGTAACTCATGGAGAACACTCGTGCGCACGAGGGAGACCGACGGGAAGGTGGAGAGGGTTGCCTTGCTCTCCACAGCACGCGTTGCAGCAACATGCAGCACTTGCACCGCATCCAGGCTGTGGGGGACGTAACTGAAAGGGTGTGTGAAACAATGCAGGTTGAACGTGTGAGCGCATGTGAGCGTGTGAGTGTGCAGGTGGAAGCGCGCAAGTGAGAGCGGTGTGCAAGTGAAGCACGACTTGCATAATTCACAAAAAAAAATATTACTCGGGGTAGTGCCACAACACGATCACTCACGTGTTTGGGTTGAAGCCGCCATCACCGGTGGGCAGCGAGAAGCGGCGCCGAAATGCCTCTCCAACCTGTGCACACACACGCACAAACACACACACACACACGCACGCACGCACACACACACACACACACACACACACACACACACACACACACACACACACACACACACACACACACACACACACACACGCACGCACGCACATAGAGGGAGGGAGAAGGTGTATGCGTGCATGCACAACGGTGTGAGCAACACAAGCGTGAGAAGCACAAGATCAATTGATGGCGTGTGCGTGAGTGTGGACGTCAAGTGTTTCTCATGCGAAACACAAACATAGCATAACAAGCAAGGCATGTGCAGCCATTACGTACGCCTGAAGCGCTGGTGTAGTTAAGCCAGCCTTCATAGACAGCGCCAGCACCAGTGCGTGGACGCACCCCAACCACACCATCAATCACCGTGTCCTCCGCCCTGTTTCATGAATCGATTGTGTGTGTGTGTGTGTGTGTGTTGTGTTGTATGGGATGTGAGGAAGCATGACGTTGTGCCTGATCACAAACGAAGAAGCACACAACACATAAGCAGAATCACGCCATGCGCACAATTCCATCGGTACATTTGAGCCACGAGGCCAAGGAAAAGCAGAGCCGATGCAAGGCAAACGCGGTGCTTTGAGCTTACGCGGTGTTTGCAAACGTGTTTGCGTCGACGGTGAGATGCACCCAGTTCTCCCCCAGCATCCCCAATTCCTCGGCCGCTGCGAACATTTGTCGTGTCGGGACCAGCAGAGCAAACGTGAGGATGACGCTGGTCCCGGACGCGCGCGCCTGCTGCAGGAGACCGCGAAACAGCGAGTGGGGCTGGTCGCCTGCGGGGATGGTGCCCCTGAATGTGATGGTGCCGTTGTTGGCGAGGAACGCGTCTGCAAACGCAGCAGCGAGGCCCTGCCCGTATGTGTCGTCCTGCATGAGCACGGCCACGTGCGTGAAGTTGAAGCGGCGACACAGCAGCTCAAGCACACGCCCCTGGTGGAGGTCGGACGGCGGTATGCGGAACAGCGTCGGGTAGCGCGTGGTGTTGGAGAGGGATGGGGCCGTGGATGCGAAGGAGACCTGAGGAACGCCATATGGGCGAAGGCCGAGGGAGAGCGGACCAGAACACGACGACCGCACGGCACCAATCACCGCGTGGAACGACTGCTGCCCAATCGTGCGCCCAAGCTGTGAGTGTGTGTATGTGTTTGTGTGTGTTTGTGTGTGTTTGTGTGTGTGTGTGTGTGTGTGTGTGAGTGAGTGTGTGCGTGCGTATACGTACATGTATGAATATGTATGAATATGCATGAGTGTTCACAATATTGCAAAGAGGAAGGGCAATCTCATCACATGTTGCCATCATTATAACATCAGCGCACGCGCACACTCTTACAACACAAAAAAAAATACCAACACAAACCCACACGACCATCCCCTACCCCCTCTCCCAACGCCCGCAAACCTGGAAGCAGTCTGCGTTGGTGTCAAAGACGGTTGTCTTGATGGTGACGAGCCCGTTGTTGGTGAGGCCCAGCCCCTCTGCTGCCACGTCGATTGCCGCCCGCCACTCTGCACTGCGGCCAGTGCTGTACCCAGGCACAGTCAGTGGTAGCGCCACAGCCAGACGAAGCACAAGCCGCTGCGGCAACAGCGCAAGCGTCGACGACAGCAGTGCTGTGCCTGTGGCGTTAACAGACGTGCGTTTGAATTGCGCGGCACACACCCCGCCTGCGTCTGGTAGAGCGCAGGCGGCTGTTGTGGCAATCCACATGGCCGAGGGCACGGCTGCCAGTGGTGACGGAAACGATGACGATGATGACGATGACGAGGAGGGGAGAGTGCGGAGGTGCACGCGGCCTGTGAATGTCGTATCAAAGCCAGTGGAGTTGAGCACAAACTGCAAGCGACCGCTGCTTCCTGGGCGGTCATCTTGTGCTGTCGCTGTGATGGATTGCTGGATAATCTGTGCCGCGTCCCATGCGGCAGCAACCGTGGCGGATGTGGATGCGTTGCCCCTCTCGTCATCAGAGAGCAACTGTGAAAGGAACTGTTGCCATTCTGGCGCGCTTGGGTTCGTGCTTGCAGGCACGGGCACGCGCAAGATGGCCGTCGCTTTCTCTGCGAGGCTACAGTCGATATCGAAGAGATGAACCGAGCACGTGTTGGGTGATACCGAAACGCTCCTCAAAATGTCCAGCTCACTCCATGCCAGGACAGCCAGCGTCACCCTGTCGTGTGTGTGTGTGTGTGTGTGTGTGTGTGTGTGTGTGTGTGTGTGTGTGTGTGTGTGTGTGTGTGTGCGTGTGTGAGTGTGTGTGCATGTGTGTGTATGTGTGTGTATGTGTGTGTGTGCGATTGCATGAACGAGTGTGGGTGAGATAATGCATGCACAGGAAGATGGGACTGCGGATATACGCATGACCCAGGTATATTGAGGGACAGGGGTGGGTGGACAACAGGGGCGACAACACACAGGGGTTTTTTGCACCCCAACGAACACCCACATTACACACACGTGTACTCACTCCACTACACACACACACACACACACACACACACACACACACACACAGACACACACACACACACAGACACACACACAGACACACACACTACACTACACACACACACACACAGACACACACACACTACACACACACACACAAGACGGACTTGTTGGCATCGAGGGTGGTGGCGACGATGTTGAGGTGGGCAGCACGGTTGGCGCTTGGGCGAGCAAGCAGAACAACGGAACTTGGTACGGACATGACCAGGGCATCGACCGTCTCGGTGAGCGAGTTTCTGACTGGCACGATGGGCATGGTGGTGTCACGCTTGGGAACCTCTGGGTCGTCATCGTTGTTGCTTTCGGCGAGGATGGTGCGCCGAATGTCAAGGACAGCCTCCACTTGGTTGTCGTCCACCAGCATGAACACGGGATGGATCGGAGAGGCTGCTCGAATCACGGTGTCGGCGATGGAGGTGAAATCCGCTCGCAGGGTGAAGAAGCAGACAGACGGCACGAGATGCGCCACGTCCACGTCCGCGCCCATTGTCTCCAGCGCGCAGGAGCTGCTGCTGCTGCCCACGAGCAAGTCGGCAAGCAGCAGCTGCCAGCGCAGAGGGATCTCTGGGCACGCTAAGACGATGATGTTTGGCGAAGATCCGCCAAACTGCGCGTCGGCGTCACGCCACCACGCCGCTGCACGCCGCACACTAATGTCCACCGTGTTGACCAACGTGGCTTCATCGGCCAGCACGTGCTTCAGCGCCATGTCAGCCAACACTCCCAGCGTATCCTCATCCCCGTTGGGCCATGTCGAGCTCGCACAGTGCCAAAACGCAACAGTTGTTGTTGTCGTTGTCGTATTCGAGGTGGTGGTTGCAGTTGCAGTTGCACTTGCAGTTGTGGATATGGGTGTGGTTTGTGCGGGCGTCAGAACCGGTGCGCTCAACAGCAGCAGAAGCAAAGCAAAGAGAAGGTGGACGCAGGAGGCGGTGATGCGGCATGGCGATGACAGCGGCCACAGCAAACACCGCTGCCGTGCCATCGCAGTGTGTGAGCAAGAGCACAAGAGCACACTACAGTCGCTTCAGAGGACCGATGATTGTTGGGGTGATGGTGGTGGTGGGTGGAATGGGGTGGTGAAGGAGAGGCGCTGTTGTGGCTGTCGCGTTGTGGTGTGGTGGCGGTTGATGAGTTTTGATTGGCATCATCGCTAAATTTCCGTCAAGTGGTCCTTCCTCGCTGAGGGCATGCAGACCTTCTCCTCCACTCCCTCGCTGCCTGACCTCTCTGTTTGTTCATCGTGCTCTCCACCTCCTTGTGTGCCTTTGCTGTTGTACATCATGTGTACAGGCAGTTCTCTATGTATGTGCAACAGCATGTGCATGCGTAACGAAGGCGTGGCTGTTCGTGAACGTTTTGGTTTGGTTGTCACTGGAACAACGACAAGTGAAGCAGTGTGTGTGTGTGTGTGTGTGTGTGTGTGTGTGTGTGTGTGTGTGTGTGTGTGTGTGTGTGTGTGTTGTGGCTTGATGGATCGTGGGGTTGCTTGGACCCAAACGCAGTTGCCACCGGTTCGTACCGTCGTTGGTCCAGTTCGCACTGTCATCGGTGGTTTCTCCCTTGTTCCTCGCCCCCCACCCCTCACAATGTCAACCCCTACTTTGTGGCCTCTTCAGTGTTCTCTGCGATGCGTGCGCGGTAGGAGAACAGCCAGTCCTGCGTCTGGTTCTTGACCAACCACAGGATCCACGGCATGATCAGATCCCTGAAGAAGCGCCCAATGGGGCCAGGCACCTTCTGGCTGCTCATGCGTGCCCCATACTCAACAACGCGCTGCGCGCGCGGGCGACGATGCGCCACAAAGACGGCCACGGCATCTGCCACCGTGGTCTGGCACTGCACAAAGCGCGCCAGCTCCACCGCGTCCTCTACGCCGAGCGACACGCCCTGGCCGGACGACGGCGATGCCGCGTGCGCAGCGTCGCCAAGCAGCACCACGTTGCCCCGGTACCACACGGGCACGTGCGGGAGGTCGTACTGGCTGGCAACGGTGATGTGCTCGGGCGTGTTGTGGATCACGTCTGCCGCGGGCCCGGCGTCATCGGCGAACATGGTCACCAGGCGCTCGCGCCAGTCCGCGGCCTTGGCCTCCTCCTTTGACAAGGGGTGGTCGAGCGGAGGGTTGGCAAACCACCACACGTCGCCCGTGTCAGGGTGCACCGTGTAGCCGAAGAAGCACTTGTAGCCAAAGAGCATGCGGTAGAGGCCGCGTGAGAGCTCCTGCTTCGTGCGCGCGTCCATGACGCTCTCCACAACCTCGTGCGGCAGGAAGCCGCCCGTGTTGCCCATGCCCATGAACCGAGATTGCACCTGCCTGTCTGCGTTGAGGTGCTGGCGCACCGCAGAGTGGATGCCGTCTGCGCCCACAACCAGGTCTGCGGCAGGAACGGACGAGCCGTCCTCAAAGGTCAAGGTGGACGCTGTGTTGGTCTCTGTGCCGTCCGCTGTCGTCTGCCATTCAATACGGGCCAGCTTCTTGCGCGAGTGCACATTGACGCCGCGTCGCTTGGCCTCCTCCAGCAGCACGCGGTAGAGATCCGCACGGCGAAGCGTGCATGTGACGGTGCCGTCGTCCAGGGTGCCGCCGATTGGGATCCGTCCCAGGTGCTTGCCGCTGCCGCTGTGGAACTCAATCTCCTCCGATGGGAAGCCGCACTGCATGACGGCATTGTCAAGGCCAAGCTCACGCAGGGCCGCCAAGCCGTTGACGGCGATGGTGAGCCACGCACCAATCGCCACGCCGGCAGAGACGTCGTACGCCTCGTACACGTCCACCACCTCCACGCCAACCTGTCGCAGTGCCATGGCAGTCGCTAAGCCAGCCACGCCACCGCCCACGACGGCTGCGCTCCTGCAGACTGCTGCTTTGCCATGCTGACTGTGCTGCTTTGATGTCGCAGCCGCTGAAGACTTGCTTGCGCTTGTGTTGCTGTTCATCTTTGCTGTTCGGTGCTGCTGTTTGCGGCTGTGCGTTGAGTGCTGATGTTGATGACGATGGCAGAACCGTCGAGAGCGAATAAATGTATATGGCTAGATGGTGTCGTCAGCAAGCCAACAGTTCCTTCTGTCAAAGGCGAGCTTTTCTTCCTTGCACGCTGTTGATGTGTGCTGTGTTGCTGGATCGGTAGTTGCCGTTCGTGTGCAGTGCTCTCGCTGTGTTGCTGGTGGGGTTTATTGTTGCTGGTTGGCGGTCCTTCGTGCAACTCCCCACAATCCATGAACATGCATGTGTTTGTGTGTCGTCTGTCGTCTGCAAGATTCACAACATGACAAAAGTGAAAAAACGTTTCGCATTCTTTTGCTTTGCTTGATGATTGCTGCATCAAATCCATCTGCACGCTGCGCCAACAACCGCACCTCTCCAACGCCAACGCAACGTTTGTGATTCCAGAGGTTGTGCCAGACATAGTTGTGATAGTTGTGACCTTGAACACGGCACGGACATCGCCACCGGCAGCGCACTTTAAGCTGCCTGGTCAGGTGAGAGAACACAGTGCAGCTATGGCAGCTGTGGCAGCTGTGGCAGCTGTGGCAGCTGTGGTTGTGACGATGTACTGTTGGTACCGCTGTGGCGCGCGCCATTTATCTCTTTGCCATTATTGTTGTGACACTCTCTGTCTTCGATGCGTTGA